ATCCATTTTTTATAATTTGAGGAGAAGAATAATTATCCCTTCGAAAACAAGTGTTTCTATCATCTTGTCACTGATCTTACCATTATGATAAAATTGAAAATATTGTCATGTCATAATATGATAATATTATAATACGATAGTGGTATCATATAATTATTATTTGCTCAAACATAAGACTTTATGTTATCTTATCACATTCATAATCATATCATACCTCTATGGTAGGACTTCATAATATCATGCTCTCATTACTTTCATACCATAATCTTACTAGCGAGTTGGTATAATTGTGACTAGCCATTAAAAAAGTTTACCTGCAAAAGCAATTCGTAAGGTTGGGTAGGGTTTTTTAGATTTCATTTATTTTTATGATTTATGTTTGATAATTTTTGTTGAGATTTAGTTTTATAGTGGTTTATTGTCATATGGTACCCAAATAATTATAATTTGATGACTGAAGTTTGAAATAGATACAAAATATGTATAAAAAGTGTGTAGTACTTATAATATTTATTTTTATTAAGTACTGATCCATTAACAAATTTTCAACGGTTGAATGTCGATTAAACCACTTATAATATTTATGTTTATTATGTTTATAAAAATTACAATTTGGCAACCATCCTTAGAAAAATTATACCTAAAAAATATTATTTTACATATAAGTCCTCAATGAAAATCTATATTTTACTATTTAGTAACGAAATTTTTTATGTCTTACATTTTAATACATAAACTTTTTAAACATTACAAATAAGCCTGATTTTGTATGTGTAGATAAGACAACATCAAGTAAATGAGCATCCATACCCAAAATCCAAAGCCCATACAAACTTCACACATACCCTAAATCTAATTAATCAGTTACTTAGGTTTGGGTAAAATTACCTATGAGTGGGTAATTGTCATTCCTATTAGGCTAGGAAACTTTGCGGTATGATCCAGATCAGACAATACATATGGGAAATGGTATAGTTAGAGAAGGTTAGCATAGACCATGAGTCGAACCAAATACTACACGGTTCATAACAGACCACGCTGCGCAGTCTGGTTCGGTACGGCCAGGACCGTGCATACCATATTGAGCGAAAAATGAACTATTTGTTTAGCCAAGCACACAAAACTTGAACCAATAATCGAGATAAAAATCTATTAATATATATAAATTTGAAGTTGGGTTACTGTTGCCTAGGAACTCTCTCTGATTGGTCCATTGGTAATAATGATGATTTGATCCTATGAGAAAAGAATTTGAGTTATAAGAATTCTCCAAAGTTAATTAAAGGTTTAATTCACCTACATAGCCATAACTTTCGCGCTTTTGACAATAATAACCACTTTTTGAAAAATACAGAAAAATAGCCATTCCGTCCAAAACTTTAACGGACCAAGTACGAATATTGACTAGACTAACAGTTTCAGCTGACGTGGCATATTTTGGTCAAAAAGTGGAAAAATACATTTTTGAATTAATTAAAAATTAGATAAAAATAGACTAAAATTAAGAAACGAAAAAAATAAGCATCTTCTTTCTCCCGTCCTCACCGCTTCCCTGTGACATTGGCCTCTGCCTTCCACCTCCGTTATCCTCTTTCTCTCAACCACCTATTTCCAGTCCATCTCCTTGCCTTCAGCGCCCTTCTCTTATATTTCGACGATGCTCCCCTTCACCTCTTCTTCTTCTTCCCAAATCTGGAATCCATATCCAAAACCAAATCGAGGGAAATGGACAGTGCAGGAGAACCAGACATGGGAGCTCGCGGCGGAGCAGGGGAGTCGCGTCGGTGATGGAGTTAAGAAATCATCGAGTTCGCCACCTCTGTCGCATTATTACTCCGCCAAATTCTACAACCACCGCTCCACCGCCTCACAAACCCTAAATTCCTCCCATCTCACTACACGCAGCCGTCGACCGCTCAGTACCTACCCCTTCTTATCCTCGAACTACGAAGAATCATTTCAATCAAGCCTGGAGAGAGTTGGAGGACATCGACCATCGGGTTTAGCTCTAATTGACCGATTCCCCTTTGCAACTCAACCACCGTCGCACAATTCCTTCCAATCGACGCACTAATTTGGCAGGAGATGGACAGCTTGGATAGGGGTTTGTTCTCGAAGGAGCTTTTCAATGACCTCCTTTTGAGATGAGCAAAAATGGTCTCCAGATCTACCACCGTCGTTCAAAGAAAAGCTTCAACCCAATCTGCAACAGTCGCCGTTTTTTGGTTCGTTGGTCATTGGGTTTCGATTTATGGGTTTCTCGTGGCCGATTTCAGACTAGCAAATCCTCCAAGTTAGGCGTTGGTGAGTGGATCGGCCGATGGGTGTGCGACGAGACTCATTTGGATGCAGGAAGGGGAAGGGTCTTGGGTCAATCGTATTTGATTTGAGTGCAGGGGAGCAGCTCTGGTGGCGCCGACGGGGGACGATGAGGCCGCCGATGGGGAAGGGATGAGATGGAAGAAGAAGGAGAGCTCGAGGAGGAAAGTGAAAAATGAAAGATAAACATTTAAATATGATGTGGCAGCTAGGTGGCATGATTTGGTGTGTTGGAGCTGATGTGGAAGCTCAGGTGTCATCCGCGTCAGTGTCATGTTAACGGTGTTAAAACTTTTAACGGAAATGGCTAATTATGTCAAACGAGTTTTCAAAATGTGGCTATATCTGTGTATTTTTCAAAAAGTGGCTATATTTTTCAAAATCATGAAAGTTATGGCTATGCAGGTGAATTAAACCTTAATTAAATTACAACTTAGTTACTATAATTTACATTTTACATTTTGATATCCCAAATTTAACCAATCCATGAATCCAATCCACCATAACATAAATGAATAAATTTAGTTTGTACCACACAAAATGTTGTATCACTCAATTGTAAGAGAAGATTCGACCATTTTATATTTGTTCATTACGTGAAAAATTAAATAAATGATAAAAGAGAGACGATTCTAAAATATTGCAAGAGCAAATTTATAAACTCATTTAGTACATATACGGGGTACTAAACAAACTTCTACTAATTACATGTAAAAAGATATGCGACATCTACATAAGCAAGTGTCAATAAATTGCTACGATGAAAAGAGTTGACTGTTGTATTGATGGCTAACTAAAAGAATTAGTCAAAACCTTTTCATTATCTACTTCATTTTCATTTCATTTTTCACTCACCTTCCATAATCATTTCTTTATTCCTACTTTTGCCTTATTCGTCTAACCCTAATTAGTATACGATTTTTATGTATTCTAATCACAAGTACGAATGAGTCCATACACGACTGACCAACACTTTAGAGAATTAATAATTTAACAATGAACCACTATATTTTTCAGCTCAATGTCGATTCCAATTAAAAGTAAATATACATAGTTATTACTTATTAGAAAGTCGTCATTTTCCACTATGGGATTTGAAGGCGTCAAATTTTAAGCGAGTTCCAGTTTGTATTCTTTTTGCTTCTCTCTAGAGTCTTTCTTTTTCACCTAGACTAGAATTTTCAACAATTATAAATGGAATTTTCAAAAATAATACATATTCAATAAATAGTTTCCTATTATCTATGAAAAAATGTAAATAATTATCATCTTAAATACATCACCATAAAAACAATTAAGTCTCAACTATGCAAATTATAGTTTGGTGACTAAACTTCATAGATCTTTAGATTTATAACCTAAATTTATTTTTTGGGCATATAAGTCCTCAAATATTGATGGAACATACAATTTTAGTACCTAAAATATTTTGTATTACATTTTAGTATCTAAACTTTTGAAGTTCTACAAATAGGTATATTTTTGTATGTGTAATTAAAACACCCTTGAAAGAAAATATTCATACTCTATCCAAATTCATCTACAAACTTCCAAACTCACATATACGTCATCCATACCCTACCCATAATCAATGGGTCTACTTGGGTGTAGGTAAATATCATTTATTAGCAAAAAACTCCAAATTTTTTTAAATTGGATATTGACCTCCATATATCTCTTCTCAGTCAATATCATATTGTCAAGTCAATATACTAACAAAACTGCTAAAAAAAAATTAATTTAGACTAATAATATAAACAAAACACCATAACGGACCACATAATACATGCCCATATACTATCTCCGCCACGCGACAAGGCGCGACATCGCCACCTAGTTTTCCCCTTATAACATAAACTACAACACACGCATAATTCGGATACCATAAATCCAAGTAAATAACAAAAGCACAAAGTTAGAGCAACCCAACATGCACCATAATGTCATAAACTTTAATATAATGTCATATGGAGATACAATCATCTCTACTCGGTAACAAAATGTGGTTTATGAATGAAGGGGGAATGAGATTTGAAAAATTACGGTTGAGACTTTAGTCCGGTTGAGGAGTTGAGAGAGTGGTCAGGTGAGCTGCTAACACAAATTTGGAAAGTGGATTGGGTTTACAATTTGGTCTAGTAAACCACGGTCTTAACCAAAACCAAACCAAGAAATCAATACATCTTATAATAGAGACCATGAACCATAACAAACCATTCTTAACGATCTATAGTTCGGACCAAACTAAGCGCTCCAGTTTAGTCCGCGATTCTTCAAATAGTCAGATCTATGTTTTTCTCCCAGCCCTAAACCCTAATAATAACAAGTATTAAACGTTGAGCGAGCCCCATAACGATATAGTCCATATTCCTTAGAGATTGTGGATTTGTGGTTCAATTCTATTGAGTGCTGTAATTAGCGGCTGACCACTAACTGCATTACCCAGCAACTTTCCAACGCACCCCGCAAAAACTAACCAAAGAGACCGCAAGTGTTAGTGTGTTCGTGGTTAACCTGCTACCCTCTCATACAAAGGCGAGGTATTTTTAACTTTTATTAGTACATGAATGGATTCCTTTTCTATTACAGATTGGGATTTGTTTCTTCACACAGATGGATTTTTCCCACTATCTTGTTGTCCTCTTTATCATAAAAGCTTGATTCTTTACACAGAGCAATTCGATTGCTTTCCCTTGTAATCCTTCAGTTTCATCACATCGGTTTTTATTGATTTAAAGTGAATCATATTCTAGCAAGGATTGGGTTCGGAGTGTGGAACTTTTGATCATGAAACCATTCACTGATAATGCAGATCATCCCAACATCGAGGTAAGTTAAAAAGAAAATCCCATCGAGGTAGCTTATCTCCATGTCCAAAACTACATTTCCTTTGGAATCCGATTGATGCAGGGGAAATTTGCTGCAATTGTTGTTTGTTGGATTCTTGGCAACGGATGTCTCTTCGCATGGAATAGTATGCTCACAATAGAAGATTACTATGTTCACCTCTTCCCGGTATTCTCAAAACTTGAGCTCTGTTTCTATCTTTGCCCCTTTTAGATCTCATGTTGAATGCTACTAAAAAGTCGTTATTGATTTCCAGAATGTAAGTTTTCATGTTGAAGGCTACTATAGATTTGTATTGTTCAATCCAAAAGCATTAAACAATTGATCCAATTGTGCAGGACCATTATTTCCATCATGTCGAAAACTGTATTCTCAAAATCAGCCGTCCAGAAAAAGAATTCTCACAATCTCACCTATAAAATACATGGCTTCTGAAAATTCATGCATTCTGCATTACGTGCTAGTCAAATGACCCACTAATATTTTGTCTTCTTTTCTTGTCACAAAATGTTACCAATTTGCAGAAATATCATCCCTCGAGAGTCTTGACGCTCGTGTATCAACCATGTGCACTTACAACAATTGTCATTCTTGCATCCAGAGAAGCCAAGATCAACACTAGGAACAGAAACTTGGTTGGCTATGCACTTTTCTTCCTAAGCTCTCTTGCAGTTCTAGTCGTGAGTATCCCTCTCTTTCCGCATCTTCATCTTCGCCTAATCTATCAATTTTACTGACCGAAATGAACCAACTTCTGCCTCTTTTCTCACCCGCTTTGAAATTTGCATAGTTGGATTTGGCCACATCAGGAAAAGGAGGCCTGATAGCTTTCGTAGGAATATGTATCGTAAGTGGGTTATTTGGAGTTGCAGATGCTCATGTCCAAGGTGGAATGATTGGAGATCTCTCCTTCATGCATCCTCAGTTCATTCAGGTCCGTGAATTCATCAAACAACTCATCAGAAATCTGCATTACAGTTTCAGTTTCGGGGGATTCAAGCATATATACACTCTAATGACTCTCGTTTCTGGGTTACTAGTCATTCCTTGCAGGCCTAGCAGCATCTGGTGCACTAACCTCGGCACTAAGGCTGATCACTAAAGCAGCGTTCGAGAATACTAAGAACGGTCTTCGCAAGGGAGCCCTTCTGTTCTTCGCCATCTCGTCGTTTTTCGAGCTTATATGCGTCGTCCTTTACGCGTTTGTCTTCCCTAAACTTCCTGTGGTGAAGTACTATCGTGCAAAGGCAGCCACTGAAGGGTCCAAGACGGTTTGTGCTGACCTTGCTGCTGGTGGACTCCAAACATTACCCGACCAAGAAGTACACACTTTGCTTCTTTTCGTTTATTTTTCCCCTTTCTTTTCGGTCTCGGAGTTAGAACTTACACGAATATCTCGATTAGGCAGTCGAACGAGCAAAGTACGAGACCCGATTCAGCAACAAGGAGCTATTGAAGCAGAATGCTGACTATGCGGTGGATATCTTTCTGATCTATGCATTGACACTGTCGATTTTTCCCGGATTCTTGTCAGAAGACACTGGATCACATAGTTTGGGAACATGGTATGTCTTGGTTCTGTTTTTGCTTAGAAAGATCAGATCGATGAGCAGGGGATGAAACAGGGCATTTTTTTTTTATGGTTCAGGTATGCGCTTGTTCTGATTGCAATGTACAATGTCTGGGATCTCGTTGGGAGGTACATTCCTCTCCTGAAGTTCATGAAATTAGAGTCTCGAAAAGGTCTGGCTGCGGCAGTCGTGTCGCGATTCGTGCTAGTTCCGGCGTTCTACTTCACTACCAAGTATGGCGACCAAGGCTGGATGATATTCCTAACGTCTGTGCTGGGTTTGACAAATGGCTACCTTACTGTCTGTGTGCTTACAGCCGCACCAAAAGGCTACAAGGTTTGTTATTTTACACAATCAGTAATGAACTGACTAAGGTTATGAGCTTGTGGTTGGTTGCAAACTGAGATTACTCCTTTTCTGTTTTGTTGGCTGTATAGGGACCGGAGCAAAATGCATTGGGGAATTTGCTGGTGGTGTTTCTACTAGCAGGTATAGTCGCAGGGGTTACCCTAGACTGGCTGTGGCTCATAGGGAAAGGATGGTGATAAGTGAGGGGAAATACAAGTTTAGGTGGATAGATATTATAATGGAGTTGATCAAGTGATGGTTGTATTGTGTTTGTAAGGCCACAAATGGTAAGTGATTCCAGGGGTTGCCTAAAATTTTGTTCACAGTTCTGTATAGAATCTGCTCATACATGAACAATATACATCATACATGAGAATTCACGATGGTGGGTAGGGTGATAGCAAGAACTTCAGAGGAGAAAGCTCTCCCAAATGTTTCTATATGTATCATTGCAGCAGTCCCTTAACGGGGTTTTATGGTAATATATGGATCATATTATTTTCATCGCCTTTTGTTCGTGCAACACGACTATGGTACTCACAATTTATTTGTAAGAACTTGCTTGCAGATGTTGGTTGTCGTTGGATCAAATATTGAGCCCTTCACGACTGTTGGATGAACGCGGTGGTAATTTTATATTAGCTCGAATCTCCTTGCACATGTCACCCAGCTCCACATTAGTTACTTCCTCGTGGATTAGCTACTGGAGAAAAAACGTGCAGTATTTTTCCACCTATCATAGTAAGCAATGAAAGAGGTTTGCCAACTTTATGTCATATGAAAGGTGATTGCTTCTGCAAAATCCAGTTGTCATTGTGGTCGAGTTATTTCCACCGTCGCCAGATAAAAGTCACCTCATTGATTCCCCGATTACCACACGAAAGCTTGTCACCTCATTGCTTGCGCCACTACGATAGACACGACCCTAGGCAAGTCTTTTGAAGTATAAGTTTGTTTGTTTTGCCCATGTTGGCTCATACATAGAAGGTGGAAACAAAAATTGTCAAGCAAGGAATCCCTGCTCAAAATGGCTCATGGGCCGCAGAATTTTGCCAGATATTAGTGCATGTGGCGTCAATTTTGGGTCCCTTGTGTTCAATCCTGGACACGGATTATGGAATACCATACTTAAAATAAAAAAGAAGAAACTGAATATGAACAGAAACAAGAAATACACACAAACAACTAAAACAAAAAACTAAACAATCACGTAGACAAAAGTAACAAAATATTCAAAACAAAAATAGAAAGGAAAAGAAGAAGTACCTTACTCCCTTTCAGAAGAAGGTGTAAGTACTCGACAACGGTGTCAACATTCGGTCTGTTGTAGAACAAGAGTTGAATTTACCTTGTGCATAACCAGGATCGTATTACCTTTGGGTCTCGCGGTCTCCTTACTCAGTCAGTAAAGGACGTGCTCTTTGAGTTTGTAAAACGAATATTGAGGTGCCTCTCATGTTGAAGTTTCACTTGTTTGGTTCGAAAATCTAAAGAAAAAGAAAGACAAATCTATACTACTAGACGCAAAAATGCAACTATTAAACCACATAAAATTGCATAATCATTATGGCACAAGTACAATCACCACTCCTCATCTTCTTTTCCCATTAAAAAAAATAACAATTCTTTAGTGTTCAAAAGTAATGGAACTTTTGTTTGAGATCATAAGTTGCTAGAGACTCCTTAGAGGAGTTAGCCTAGTCATAATTTTCCTTTCCCTCATTTTTCAAATTTAGCTGGTCAGAAGTAAAATTGGTCCCATTTGCCAGGTGTTTTGGTCGTATGCCAGCGACAAATTCTACCTAATTTTATCTACTATCTACTTGCCTCTTACCCCAAAACATAATTTGGGAACTTGTAGCCAAGAGAGAGTGTGTTTAATATCGATGAGGCCCATCTATTCTTTCCCTTTCCATAATCCTTTCGTCCAGATGACTCCAAAATTTTCCCGGGCAGTCAGAGGACTCCATAATCAATATTAAGCTGGCTTTTTTCTAGAACTCCATAAATTGGAACCTCTGGCACCATTCTCGGCTCCAAAATGGAGAATGGACCTTCATTCTATATCAATGGGGATTTTTTCAGTTTATCTTCCTGTTTTCTAACCCCGACCCTTGCTTGACCCTTATGGGATAGGACCTCGACAGAATTTGATTTTGAACAATTTACCTAAGAACCTTGATTGGAGTGTGGTAAGGGAAGCTGTTTGGAGCTCTCTGTACTTTTCATTGTTACCTGTTGGCCTTGAATTAGTGTTGTGAATTGGTCGTCTATCAATTCAAGGTTGTGGTTGAGTAGAGCTCGAACCTTGCTCATTATATGGAAGCCTTCCACTAAACCGAGGAAGTGAGGAGTTTGATTTCTTCACCCAATTTGGATTGGGTGAAGCTTTATCGTCCTAATGTGTATCATGAAGGTACGAGACATTAGTGAAGTTACTTTGGGATAATCAATTGGCTTTTAACTTCAGAAATTGGCCAATATCCAACAGGAAATTAGGTCCAACCCTTATAATAATTATTCATACGATTTCATAGTTTCTATAGTCATTCATTTATATGGTTCTCAATTATGTTGGTAGATATTTTAATTAAAATAACAATTCTGAGGATAGCGAGTAGCAATATAGTCGAGCTTTCTATCGGTAAGTCGCCCATTGTCCAGCAGGCGTGTCATTCATGGTGATCATCACAACCGCACGACTCTCGGATATAGATGTGTTGCATGTGGGTTCCTTGCTGCTTTCATATCATGGGGTTTCCTTCCTAACTCCTTGATTTGAAAATTGATTGCGGAGAGTGGATCCTCTAATTCCTGTGCCATTTTAGCAGCCATAAATGCAAAATGTTTAAGAGCTTGCACATCAGTCAGTCAGTCACGTTCTTGCATCTTCGGCTGCTTAATTTGCCATCCCTGTGGTAAGGTCAATATATTTTCTAAAGATGTACACGAGCTATTCTTGCCCAAAACCATGGTGAGGGCATGTTCTAAGAAGCTATTGGAATTTCTCCAAAGCATCATACGTTGATTCAAAGGTACATTACTTGGAGTGAGCAATCTGGTCTTCCAAATCTTTGGCTCTCCATAGATGGAAGAACTCTTCTATGAGAGCTTGGACCGGATCACCCCACGTATGAAAGGTACAAATATATTGGCGATTTAGCCAATTCTTTGGTTTCCCCCGTAAGGAGAAAGAAAATAGGCATAATCTGATTGCATTTGTCTCAACAACGGGGGGTTGTGGAGAATCACATATTTCCATAAATATTTTGATGTGTTCGAAAAGATCGTCATTATCTCTTTCCTCAAAACGTCCAACATTCTCGACCATGTGAATTGTGAAAGTCTTCAACAAAAAATTTGGAACAACAATTGGGGGTAGGAAATGCTGGAAGTGGTGTTTATAGCTTGAGCTATATGTACTCCTAGAGAGTTTGGTCAGCCAGGCCTCTTGAAGTTTTTGGTTCATAAGGGGGTTTATTGTTTTCCTCTTCTGGACAGTGGTCGAAAAGAGAGTTAAGGCAAAGAGATGTAAGCAGCTTCCCCTTAAAAACTCTCATTTTAGCTGGTAGTGTCCTTGCTTTCAAAGAATCAGAGGTACCACTATGGTAAACACGACCTTGGGCAAGAATTTTGAGTTTATTGTTCGTTATGCCCTTGATTCGTGTTGGGCTCATTACATAGAAGGAGCTTAACAAAAAATATTAAGCGACAAACTTCTCTCAACATGCCGCCATAATAACTGATTTTTCTAGAAAATAGTGCATTGGCCGCCGATTTTACACCTTCTATGTTTGAGTTAGTCTCTGTCTACAGACTATGATGCCACTCAATTTATAATGTTCATCACTCCCATATTTTATACATTTTCTCATTCTGTCAATGCATCTTTAGTACTTTCTCTCATAATTTATATCCAAATCATAACTATTTGATCAATGGGCATTTGATAGACCTAGGTTGTGTTTATGTATTCTTTTATTCCTTTTTGTATGTTTTTGTGCTTTTCAAGGTGAAATACAACCTAGGAAGATCTGGATAAAGCATGTGATGATCATAGAGGACCAAAGGAGTTAAAGAGGGAATAATATGAAGTTTTCATATAAAAGATGAGGTTCAACGACGGACAAATTAACCTACTGGTAACCACGAGTAGATCCCAAGAGGATCCCAATGGAGAAGGACTATGCTAAAACCAAATCAAGAACCAATGGCAGGTGTGAGTCGGGCCCAACCACCACCCAAGCAGACGTGATCAGATCACAGATAAATCTTCAAGAAAAGTTTCTTTTGTGATGAGTCCATCAAACAAAGAAAAATACTGGTTGTTGCAACCGATGTCGAACTGCCACTCCAAGGCCTAAGGCCAAATAGAGATTTTTAGGCCATTTTTCAGCCTCAAGTTAGAGAGACCTTATCCTAGTAGGATTATGAAGCCATGTTTGGATGGTGCTATAAACCATCGATTATGGCTCAAGAGGATCACACTTAATCATGTGTTATCCTCACTTCTCTGTTCTTCATTGATTAGGTGATGGTACTAGCGAAAGCACACATTAGTTAGTCAAGTTCCAATTGCAGGTGGCAAAGCTCAAGTAGGATGGCCTTAGTAGAAGGGATAGAGTGATGCTATAGAAGAATCATTGATGCATGATATGAATGAGTGTTGATGCGTATGATAGGACTCGAGTATGTTTTTCTATTTCAATAACGTATCTTTACTTTTATGCATCTATATAACTTGAAACCCCTTAAACATCTTTTACTTTCTGGCTTGCTTTACTTTGATGCTTATTAAAAAAAATCTAAAAGTCTTTCATATTAGTGTTTGAGCATGGATGGTATGGTGTGAGTAGTACGCATAAGAAGACCTTGTGGAATATGACCCTAGGGCATCCTAGGACTTCTATCAGTTGCATGTTCATTGCATCAGACTACCAAACAGAAAATATGAGAAAATAAAATAAAATAAAATAGAAATAGAATACGAAAAAAACAAAAAAAAAACATACTAATAGAAACAAAAAGGCACTTAACCAGACACACAAGCAAAAAATATAAATGAATTAAAATGAAAAGAACACGTAGCTTACTCCATTTGAGGAAGTTCATGAGAGTCGCCGACACTGGCGCCAAAATTTGATCTACTGTAGAACATGGGAAAAATCCAAAACTAACACTGTTAAAAAAAAAGGGTTAATACTGAGTACCGGGCCATGGCTAGTGCCGTTAGTGACGTTATCTGGCTTCGTGCTATTCTTCGTGTGCTGGGGGTTTCCCAGCCAGACTCTACAGCCTTCATTGCGATAACCAGGCTGCGCTGCATATTGCGGCTAACCCGGTGTTTCATGAACGGACAAAGAATGTTGAGCTTGACTGTTACTTTGATCGGGATCATGTTACGTCTCGCACTATCCTTCCCACGAAAGTGTCCTCGCGTGATCAGATTGCCGATATTTTCACGAAGGGTCTTGGTGGTGATCTGTTTCATTATCTTCTCTCCAAGCTTGGCATTTGTGACTTGCATGCTCCGCTTGTTGGGGGTGAAGGAGTCGTGTTTTATTAGTAGGGACTGTTTGGTCTTTTTGCCATATGGTTCCTGTTAGTGTTGTGGTATATGATTCACGATTGAACCTCTCCCAACAACTCGAGTTATTGGGATCAACTGGTTCTTGACATGGTATCAGAGCCTTCTGTGACCGAGAGGTCTTGTGTTCGATTCCCGGTGACCACCATTTGTTAAGCACATGGTATTCTTGTTTTCAGACCTGTGCAAACTTCAAGCCCTTGTGAGTGGCTTTCGTTTGAGGGGGCATGTTAGTGTTGTGGTATATGATTCACGATTGAACCTCTCCCAACAACTCGAGTTATTGGGATCAACTGGTTCTTGACAGTTCCTACGTATAACCCTAGAGTTCATGTTGCATTAGGGTTATATATATATTGTTCTTGTTTTTCCTCTGTAACTTGTAGACCGACGAAGAGAATAAGAGAAAACTTAGAAGGGTTTCCTTCTCCGTGGATTAGTCTCGTTCACACTGAACGAGGATACCACGTAAACTGATCGTGTTCTTTCGTTTCCGCTTTGCTAGTTTTCAGAGGAATTTTTTTTAGGGAAGAGGAAACTGCAATCCCCTTATTCGAAGGAGATGAAACCATCTTGTTTCGACCTCAACCTGTCATAATTAATTTCCGAAAGTGAATGGCTAGGAGGATGGGATATTGGTACACGGCAGAAAGGTGGTTAAGAAATGAAGATACTCGCAAGGAGAGGAAGGCGCATATAGTGCATTCCTACCTGGAATGAGATGAACTGCACTGGTGTGAATGAATGGATCGATCTTATCAAGATGCCGAGTTACTGATAACTTGTCCATTGTTCAAGGAAGAGTTGAAGATGTGCTTCAGAAAAGCAGCTGGTGTTGGTCACTACTCACTATTGTTCCCCAATTCTTCACTCCAATCTCTAAAATTTCTACATTAAAACCTTCTAATTCATGTCCTTCACTACGATTACCGAAGTTCGACGTCGAACCACTCCAATTTCTATCACAATTTCTTATTGCTTGAACCAAAATCGCACTTCGAATTGTGTCATTTTTTTCTTTAGTTTGCGAAATGCGCCTATTTTCCAATTTTTCTTTTCGCCTAACTCAATCTTTGGAATACTAAGTTGAACATTTGAATATTTATGTTATATAAATGTACTTGAATTTTCACTATATGTTGGATCTAAGTACGATATGTTATTTTGGTGTAATATTATATGTTATAACTCATACGTTAGATAAAATTTGATATAATTTATGAGGATAAGTACAATATAATGACTCTATATTTCCGAGCCAAACCGGGCTAAAACGGTTGACCCATTAACCCTTGACTCACTAATTCGACCGGGCCCGGGTCAACCCGCGGATTGACAACATTGCTAAATTATCAATTTTGTATCTCATACTATATTTTTCGAGGGCTCATGCCACCTCTCTAAACTCGAGGCTCGCGGTTTATGAAGGCCAACCTCGCTTTCTGCTTTTCCAAATGATCCACTTTTCGCTAGTCCAGGAAGGAATTTAACATGCAAGAGAGAAGGAAAGTTTCTCTAAATACACAGATGAGATACAAGTAACGGCACACATATATGGAGTCGGCTTGTATTCATACAAGCTGGGCTCTCAAGTTCATGGAGTTTGCTCTTTCATGTAGCACAGACAAACAAAATTTACCAGCTTTCATATCACTACATCTTTGCATTAAAACCATAAGGAGGTTGCATATGAGAAGAAAGCTCCTAAGACCACCATGGAGCATCTCCGGTTCTGAAATCGGTTTCTACCCAGGGAACAAACACCACCTTGCCATCATCTACATCGGCATGAGCCAATGCCAACGACTGCAATCAAGAAAAAGACTGTCAGTAAAGGACCATTTTGAGTAGAGAGAGGAGGGAAGATGAAGAGGGTCAACACAGCTAGATGGTTACCAAAGGAGCCGGTCCTCTAACCACTCTGCCTTGATCATTGTACTGAGATCCATGGCAGGGGCAAATGAACTTGTTCTCAGCAGCATTAAACGGCACAACACAACCGAGATGCGTGCAAACGGCATTGATACCATATGTTGCAAGTGTTCTGTCTTTCTCCACCACAAGGTAAGTAGGATCTCCCTGAGAAAGAAAACCATCGAGTTGCATGATTGTTAACAGAGCTTAGACAAAACATACAGGCAACAGTGCAGTGACACATCCATTCACGGCAGAATCCATTGGTTATAAACAGCAGCAAAGCAATCATTGATACAAATCTGAGTGCGTAATGAATGCAGAAGAGCTCAAACTGGGGGACAAATTTACCTTCAATCCTTGAGTAAGGGTTCGGTCTCCAGGGCCATGAGTCTTGAGCCATTCTTCAGCAATGACATCATTTCCAACAGCATCCTTAGCCACTGTACCACCACCAGCACCTCCAGTTCTGTTGGAAATTATTTTCAAATGAGTGGTAGCAAATGGAAGCCGAAATATAATCAGGCAAACAAAGGAAAGTAGCCAGGTACAGGAACAAGGAAAAACTACCCCAAGCCTTAACCAATCCACACAGCGTATCCCAGGATTGAATTTGATCAAAATTGACATGAAAGGAAAAAAGTTTCTAGCTCTATAATCATGAGGCAACTAGCTTCGTACACAATAGCAACAATCTGTCAAAATTGACATCAAAGAAAGTTGCCAACAATCCAATAAGGTAACGCAGCTCCACCAAAGCAAGAAACGACTTCAAGATAACAAGCCAAATCGAATTGTTTGACAGATAAAGTAGAGCTCTCTGGGGCAATAAATCAAACACTTAAAAATGGATGAAAAAGACCATTACCCGGTGGGGACGAAGAAAGAGGCATACGGAACCAGCATCCCAGCAGTGGGGAGAGAGATAGCTCCCAACAGAAGCAAATTCATCAGCTCCCTTTTACCCATGTCAGGAACACGATCGGCTGGGATGCTAGTGGCCTGGCACGAGACTTTCTGATGGAGACCCGCTCGGGTAGGGGGGTCGGGTTGGGTTGGCCGACTGGGCCGGGTTTGGTTTGTTTGTCTTATTACTCCTGTGTTAGTTCTGAAACTCATAAATAGGTTTCTGCACATTCATTTGCGGTTAAGCAATAATAATATCAAAATCCCTAAATCCCTCTTTTCTCTGTTCTTCCCCAATTCTTCTTCCAATCCCTAATTCTTCCTCTAATCCCTCATTCTTTCTCAATTCCCAATTCTATTTCACAACCCCAACCCTACTCATCTCTATCAATTGGTATCAGAGCCAACATGAGCTCTGCTAGGCTCTCTGATCCCTCATGGACGCGGCTGCTGCAACGGATCGACGCTCTCTGCGCCGATCGGGAAGAGGAGGCGCGAGAGGAGGGCTGCCCCGCGGCGGCTGCGGGTGAACCGCGCGGGCTGGCGCGGGTGACACCGCCGCGCGAAGGGCAGGCGGTCGGGGAGGGGGCGGCAGCGCCCGGCGAGACGGCGGCGACGGGAGAGCCGCGGCGCGAGCCGCGCGCGGGTGGGCTTCGCGGCGGGGGCTGCTCGCCGCCGAGCGCGCACCAGGACGGCGGGGGTGACAGGATGACGCCGGCGTCTCCGGGAATCTCGCTCCACTCTGTGACTGGTCTACCTACGCCGGGAACACTCCGTTTCCGAGCTGAGATAGCTGGCACTACTGCTCTGACGTTGGTGGACAGTGGCGCGACTCTTAATTTCATCAGCGAGGAACTGGCTAAGCAGATTCCTCAAAAGCCGAGCGAGGTGGAGTCTATGGTGGTCAAGGTTGCCAATGGCGCCCCAATGCGGTGCAGGGCAGTGTATCGGCAGCTGCCTTTCGAGATTCAAGGGCTGCCCGTCACTGCCGATATGTATGTTCTACCCATCCGCGGGTTTGACTTGATCTTGGGTGTTCCGTGGTTGCAGGAATTGGGACCGGTGACTACTGATTGGCGCCATCTGACTATGCGGTTCAAGTGGAGAGATAAGGAGTGGAGTCTGCAAGGGCTCACGACGGCCCTAGGGCCTATTTCGCTCCATGAGTGCATGGCGGAGGGCGAGGCTGAGCTGGCTGTCCTCTGCTGGCCCACGATGGCGACCGATGCGAAGGAGCTGCCCCCTGATCTGCAGCGGGTACTAGACGCATTTCCGGAGCTCTTCCAGGCACCTACCACACTGCCGCCCCACCGGCAGGTTGATCACCGGATTCAGCTCAAGGATGGTGTTGAGGCTGTGAATGTCCGACCCTATCGGTATGGACACTCGCAAAAGGAAGAGATCGAGCGCCAGGTGGAGGAGATGCTAGCGACCGGGTTGATTCGCCCTAGCACTAGTCCTTTTTCTTCGCCGGTCCTCCTGGTCAAGAAAAAGGATGGGACTTGGCGGTTCTGCACAGATTACAGGGCCCTCAATGCTGCGACGGTGAAGGATCGGTTCCCGATTCCCACCGTAGATGACATGCTCGACGAGCTCCATGGCTCAGCCTATTTCACTAAGCTCGATTTGCGGGCCGGGTATCATCAGATTCGGATGCAGGAGGAGGATGCGCACAAGACCGCTTTCAGGACTCATAACGGCCATTATGAGTACTTGGTTATGCCCTTCGGCTTGTGCAATGCTCCCTCGACTTTTCAGGCGGCTATGAATGACATCTTCAGACCACTACTCCGCCGGTATGTTCTGGTATTTTTTGATGACATTCTGGTTTACAGCCCATCTTGGGAAGAGCATTTGCAGCATTTGCAGGCAGTCTTTGAGGTGTTGAGGCATCACCAGTACTACCTCAAGGCCTCGAAGTGTGCGTTCGGGGTGCAGAAGGTCGAGTACTTGGGCCACATTGTCACGCCTCAGGGAGTGCAGGTGGACCAGTCGAAGATACAGGCTATGGTCGAGTGGCCTACCCCGACCACGGTCACAGAGCTGAGGGGTTTCTTGGGCTTGACAGGGTATTACCGGAAGTTCGTGCAGGGGTACAGCATGATCGCCCGGCCCTTGACTAATCTGTTGAAGAAGGGCGGGTTTGCATGGACCCCAGAGGCGGAGACGGCCTTCCAGCGGCTGAAGCAGGCCATGACCTCCACTCCGACTCTAGCTATGCCGGATTTTTCCCGGACCTTTGTGATTGAGGCTGATGCGTCTGGTCGGGGAATCGGGGCGGTGTTATCACAGGACCGCCATCCGGTGGCCTTCATGAGTAAGACCCTAGCTCCCTCCAAGGAGGCGTGGTCTACATACCAGAAGGAGATGCAGGCTATCATCACTGCTGTGCAGATGTGGAGACCGTACCTTCTGGGTCAGAAATTTCATATCTACACCGACCATCAGAGCCTGAGGAATCTGTTGGAGCAGCGCGTTTCCACTCCTGATCAGCACAAGTGGGTCGCGAAGCTCCTGGGCTATGATTATGAGATACACTATCGACCGGGGCCCTCCAACGTGGTGGCCGATGGGCTCTCGCGTAGGCCGGGAGGCGAGGTATTAGCAGCGGTGACGGGACCAGTACCCCAGTTTTGGGATGCCCTACGAGCTCTGACAGAGACGGATGCATATTTGCGGGGATGCCGGGATACCGCAGTCGGAGAGACTCCGGGCCAGTACTCGTTTCGCCAGGGGCTGGTGTTCTTCCGAGGGCGCCTTGTCCTTCCCCGGGGCTCTTCCCTGGTGACGACTGTGCTTAAGGAGTACCACGATTCACTTTTTGGCGGACATTCTGGGGTGGAGCGGACCCTGAGGCGGATTCGGGCACAGTTTTATTGGCCTCAGATGGCTCAGGATGTGAAGGACTATGTCGGCTCTTGTGACACCTGCCAGCGGGTTAAGGCCTCCCATCTTCGACCGGCCGGTCTATTACAGCCATTACCGGTGCCGGAGCGGGTGTGGGAGGACATCAGCATGGACTTCATTGTCGGGCTTCCTCCCTCCGGTGGTAAGACAGTGTTGTTTGTTGTTGTGGACAGGTTGACGAAGTATGCTCATTTCATGGCATTGGCGCATCCGTATACGGCCAGGGCAGTTGCAGAGCAGTTTGTGATGGGAGTTGTACGCCATCACGGGTTTCCGCGGTCGATTGTCAGTGACCGGGATTCGGTTTTCTTGAGCCGTTTCTGGCAGGAGGTATTCGCCTTGGCGCAGACGACTTTGCGCATGAGCTCTGCATACCACCCGCAGACAGATGGCCAGACGGAGGTGGTCAACCGATATTTAGAGCAGTACCTGCGTTGTTTCGCTCACCAGCAGCCGCGGCGGTGGTTCGCTCTGTTACCCTGGGCCGAGCTATGGTATAACTCCACATATCATAGAGCGATTCAGACGACCCCGTTTGAGGCGCTGTACGGGCGACCACCACCTGCATTGGTTCGCTACCAGCCGGGCGCCAGTCAGGTGGATGCGGTGGACCGCTGGCTTGGGACGCGGGATGAGGCATTGGAGCAGCTCAAGGCCAATCTGGCTGCTGCTAATAACAAAATGAAGCAGTTGGCTGATGCAGGCAGGCGGGAGGAGGAGTTTGAGGTGGGGGACTGGGTTCTGCTTCGACTTCACCCCTACAGACAGGCTTCCGTTTTCCGGCGAGCCTACCAGAAGCTGGCTGCCCGATACTTTGGTCCCTATGAGGTGCTGCAGAAGATTAATCCAGTGGCCTACAGGTTGCAGTTACCGGCAGATGCGCGTATTCACCCTACCTTCCATGTGTCGCTGCTGAAGCGCTACAGAGGAGCCGCGGATCGGGTGGAGACGACGGCGCCACCAGTCTCTGCCGATGGTGATCTTGTACGTACCCCTGTGCAGGTTGTGGATACCAGGTGGGTTCGGAAGGGCGGGCGGCTGATTGAGGAGAGTTTGGTTCTGTGGAAACACATGACGCGTGAGGATGCTACCTGGGAGGAGACTGCCGAGCTACGACAGCGTTTTCCGACATTTGACCTTGAGGACAAGGTCATTTCTGATGGGGAAGGGGATGATGGAGACCCGCTCGGGTAGGGGG